AGGTTCTTCGATTTCCTCGCCGAGATAGGCTGCAAAATAAGACATACAATAATGTTAAAATCACTCAACTGACTACAGTATCTTTTGCGTTGTACATAAGTAAACTGCCTTTTACGCTATTTTTTAATGTTAAAGGATGCAAGGTAAATGCAAAAGAGAACAGAAACGAAAAGATTAATTGCAGAAAGTTAACCAAGTGTAAACCTCTAGAAGCCTCTATGAATTCTCTTCATTTTAAACGATTACGTACCTGATTTCTACGAAAATACTTAAAACATAGTTAACGCAAAAGAATTCTTAAGTTTTCCGTTTCGTTTGATACAAAATTAGCTTCGTTTTACTATGTATATGATGATCATCTATAAATGGAAATATAAACCTCAAATAAAATACTGTCCAACTTGGTAAATCGGATGACTGATGTGTACCGACATATCGCCCCGTGTCTCACGCGCCCACTTCAAGGTAGAAAGGTGGGTTAGTTCTGGCAGTTGCATTAATTACTCAAGGCTGTTCGTGCATTGGTGATCGGAAGGCGAGCTTTAAACCGTGCTGCTGGTTAAGTAATTTCTTGGCCAGTTGGAACGGCTAATTCTAAACCGCGCAGAGTTTGTATCCTTTGTCCCAGCTGATGGTATGACTCATGCTTGCCTGACGCTCCTGTTTAGCCAGTGTCCTTCTTTGATGACGTCTGTTCACTCTTACCATAGGGGAATATGTGCTTCCTGCGTAGCTTCTTGCATAATCCCGGAGGTCTTTACTCATTGTTTTTTGATTTCGGTAGGTGAGAGGTCTTGCCTTCTTCCCGGGCGCTTAACTACCACATCTCGTTCACGCCCGTTCGCGATCATTCACCTTTTCCTGCTTGACAGATAAATCTGTTCTTTGAGAGATGATGTTCCCTGCTCCTCCGACGCAGTACTTCCCGTAGTTATACGGCAATTCACAATCGCAGTCTAGCAAACTATTATTTTCAGAGTCAATTAATTGAGTATGAACCATATTATAACCTACGTATAATTACGTTAATATTACGTTTAGTATAATAAACCTCTGCAACCTTTCAACAAAAAATCTAATATTAAAGGATAATTACGCAAGGTATATTATTTAAAACATCCTTTTGACATTGTTTACTGTCAGAGTTGATTTAGTGTAACACATTTTAATATGCTTTAGTTCTTCTTTAAGAACTCATTACAACATAACTTCAGGGCTATGCATATTAAAGGGTAACAACAGAACGTTCACTATTTAAATCATAATGTGAGTTAAATTTAAGATATTTATCGATAATAGAAGGTTGAAAATTGTACATGATTTCGTTATGCGGGAGGTGATACAATCTTCAGGTAAGTCACAAACGGGAAGACAACGCATAAAATGGTCTTAAATTAGGGACATCTGTCGTTTCGTACCGAGCATGGTGCTCAAATACCATGAAGTCTTTAATCTGTTTAAACGCCCCCTCCCTACAAGACTCCTTGAAATCCGGGTCGGACTATGAGAAGTTGTGCGTTACTTGAGATACTCTGACGGACGAATGTACTTTGATGTTTTTGCAGCAGCATATGAGTCCAAATTCCAGAAATATAGTTCTTAATGAGCATGAGGGCGAACGAAACGATGTGAGATGCATCGTGCAATGCAAGTGTTCAAATACATTGAAGCTGCCATTTGCTTAAACGCTACCTTCCCACGCGATTAAGAGCAACGAGACGGTGCAATACGCCGTGAAATCTGCTTTATACGTTATCTTAACTTCCCTATTAAAGCAAGGCGCACATGTTCATGAGCTATATCTATTCAGTTTACATAAACTCTTCCTACTTATTGTGCCGTGATCCAACTTGATGCTCTGGGAAAATCATTCTCATTAAATTTGCAAACGGACAATTATTCCACTCATCTTGTCTCTATAGCAGCCCTTCGATACTTTTGGACTCTCATTCATGCAGATCCTTGAGATGTCGTTCATTCACAGTCATTTCGGTCTGAAGTGCCTTGGCCCATTGGCTGGCAGCTTTCCGATCCACACCAAATTAGTAAAAAGAATTATATATAACTCGAAATGTTACAGTTAGATCACGCGATGCACTTAGTCGTCGTCCACCTTCTAAGTCACTGGTGCTCACGTTTCTCTTTCGGACAATTACCCTGTCTCATACGTATATCCAATTAAGAGCCAGAAAAGGAAGAATCTACTCAGCCACCAATGTACAACGCAAATAAACATTTTCATTTTCATAAGAGCAAAGTGGCTATTGAAAAAGAGGCTGGCAAACAATTAGTCCACTTTACAATTCAAAAACTTGTCACTCATTTATCTAGCAAAATAGGATGATCAATACAGCACAGAACAGAATTCCTCATCCTAGGCAAAGACCACCTTGATGTCATACCATTGGGCCTTGCTACGATGACCAGTTGTCCAGCAGCGATCTCTCGACAAGATCTAATGAAACGTACGGCCTGATCATGAGTGAAGAGTGAAACATCCACCTGATTGATCATCAAGATCTGATCGCCCTCGTTCAACCTGGGTATGCAAGTATCGGCAGGGCTTCCGGGAACAACGCGACTCACCGAAATCGGATACTTGTCATCGATACCGCCCTGTTGAAAAAACCACTCTACAGTAAGAACTTTGACCGAGCGAAAAACCTTACCTTTACGTTGAATCCGAACCTGCCTTGCGCGTCAGCGGTCATGCGAATTGTCACCAGTGACTCGTCACCCTGATTCTGGCAGCTGTTACCACCAACACCATCGCTAGAGTAGCCGTTGATCTGTGATTTAGCCGTGGAAGCGGCTGACAGGTGTCTACTGGACAGTCGCCACTGGCCGGCAGGAAACGTCGTCGAAGCGAGGTTCGAACAAGAAGGAACGATCGACTGGCCAGACGCACTGCATTCGTTATGAAAGGGACTGCCACTGACCGCCGCCATGTTGCTGCTTGCACAGTAACCGTTCTGCTGACAGTAGTTGGCCGGTAGAGACGAAACCAGCGAATACTCACCGGAAATCTATTAAAAGATGGCATTAGCGAATTAATTACGGGCGTTGTGCTGTTCTGGGCAAAACTGGATATCGGGGGAGAGTGGGCCGGAATTTGAAATCCAGACAGACCCCACTTTAAGTAAACTCGGATTTAAACAAATTATCGAGAAAAAGTTATTAAAAAAATTTCAGGTTATATCAATTTTACTTCACATATAGAAAGGAAAACAGCATATGCGATGCAAGCAGCTCCTTCCTCAATCTCGGTATGCATTCGATTAAACACAGACCTGTTGTGTATCTGTAATTATACACTTTAATAGTTCGTACCAGCTTTCATAGAATACAATAATGAATTTTGAAAAAAAGAAAGCCGCAACTCAATCATCTTTTAATAATTTCATAAGGAAGCATGAACGGCCAAATTAAACAATTTTTTAATCTATTTGCTCATGCTCAATTTATGCTGTATTATATTACTTTGCATTAAGAATTACACACTGAAATCCAATCAGCGTGTAAGTCCTAAAGTGAAACATCCTCCGAGATATGTAAGTGAACTACTGTTGACGCGTAAGAAACATAGATTGATTAAATGAGGAGGGGTTAGCTTAAATCCGAGTTATGTAAGCTTCGACTTACGTAAAAAAAATGAGGTCTGCGAACAATGACATTTAGAAAAAAATCTGAAAGTCAACCCGCAAATATTTCACTCGCCGTCAAACAGATTAAGATAGTTAAAATCTGTAATTCACTGCAGCTAATAGAAAAACTGTCATTTGTTGAAGAAACAACGTTTAACATTTGTATAATAATTTACTTTAATCGCTGATCAAAATATGTTTAGCAATTAGAAAAATGTCTTTTTGTTTAGTCACTTCGAATGTTAACTGCCTGCAAAACCTCGTCGCAAGCCTTATATGCTTCTAAATCATTAATGTTGAATAACAATAAATTTCTTTAAGATTCTATTGCTACCCCCCCCCTCTCCTACCATATTTGTATCTGAACGTAGGCAGCTATTTAAACGATGCCAAGGCAAATGAAACAGCTGTACTCGCCTTGCTTACGATCTTCGAGGACGACGGCGAGGTTTTGGCAGTCGGTCGCATGACCGAAGTTTGCGTGAAGGTGGGCAATACAAACGAATTTTCGACCGCTTGGTCGTTGTCCACCGCTACGGTGGACGTGAGTTCGGGGCCGAAGGTGGTCTCGATCGCCGTCGGTCTGTGAGGAACGGCGCTGCTATCCGACGAATCGAACAGGTCAGCAGCTACGCCGTGGTTTCCTTCGCAGGAGCTGCTAAAACGATTAATTTATTAATTTCCACTAAGTTTATCAGAAAGGAGCTGACAGCTGATTTTAAGCTAAGTATGCCACTTCAAAGTCTTTGTAGAATCTTCCTGTCTAACTATATCGATATGGGTATATAAGTTAACTCATTTTCGGTGATAAAAGCGCCTATCCATTAGCTTATGTAGGACACTGGTTCAAGGATCGAATGCCAATATGGAAAAAGGCCATGTGAATTTTAGGCAGACAGACAGACGGTAGCAGTAGCATGTTCATCGACCTGTTGATAGCATGATGATAAAAAGTCGTGGCAAGCTTCGCAACCAAATTTAAATAAGGAAAAGGAAACTCTGTCACCACTAGAAAGACAGGGTCTACAGCCATGTGGGAAGCGCAGCGTGTAGTTCCCTGTATGACATGTATTTACCCACCTCTGAAGGAAGAAAGATGACTGACCGAGACTCGAATGTGCACCTGTCGGTTCTGAGTTCGACGCTCTAGCAAGCCCGGCTTTTAAGCAATATGTGGTATATTCCTTGCTTAAGGGAATTCGTGAATATGACGAAGATTGCCATCGAGCGGCGAATCTGAACCTCCCGGATTTCGAAGCAGACCTTTTAGACACTGTGCCAACACATCACATGTAGGTGAATGTCTTGCCATTGGAAAGTCATTCCTCAATTACCAATTTTGGCTCCGCTAGCACAGTGACAATTTTCGATACCACCGGTAAAAATAACAATAACATGTCACCTCAACTTTCCGAATTCGCACGGCGTTGTCGCACGGGCAATCGCCTTACTTCGGGCCATTCGGTA